GGGGGGGAAGGGTGGTTAACGGGGGAAAAAAAAACTGCAGAAGTCCCAGACCAACCCGAAAACTTCTCCAGGGAGATGTTGGCGCAGCCTAGCCCCCTCTGGCCGCCCCTCCGGACTCACCCGCGCTCTCCCGCCTTGCAGTGAGCCCAGAGCCGGGGTTGCGCTCCCGCCCGTGGACCTCGTAGTCACTGTCCCATTAGGATCCGGACCAGGGATTCTTTTTTTTGTTTGTTTTTTTTGGGAGGGTAAAGGCTGTCCCGAGCAGTGTAGCGATCGCTTCTGCAGCTGAACCCTGGTTATTATAATTATTCCTAGGCTAAAATCCGGCGCATTCATCAGCATTCGCAATGGTGGTCTGGCGAAACTTGTCAACACTGATTTCGTGATAAAATGTGAATGATGATTTTATAAGGATTGAGTGGAGATATCCAAGGCACAGGCTGACTGAGTCCTTGCAGTCCTCATTAATGCTAGCAATTAACTCTTTCACGCTCAATTAGTCCCGAATAAACCTGCTTTAATAGATTCTGCACACTTCATTAATACTTTGAATAAATCCGTGCTGAACAATGCACTTTATTCCTCAAGAGCATCACGCTCGAATAATGCGGAGTGAGAGGGCAATTTTATTCCCTTTCCATTTAGTTTCCCTAACACAGATAAATTGTAAGCTCTATTTCCTCGCTTAAACTGATAGGAAGGGAAAATCTTGTACCCGCAAAGGGGACAAAATAAGTAGCCGACCTGGTAGCAAAATACTGCAGACCGCTGCGATGTAGTAGAAAGGAGACAGCTACCAGACCTTAAAGGATTCAGAAAAAAGAAGGGGGACTTTTTTGACAGATGAACCTGATTGCTGCAGTTTGGGGCTATCCCAAGAATGCAGAGTTTTATGCCCGCTACTTTATCATGTTTGTAAAAATAAGCAACGTTCTCAGGGTAATTTACCTCCTCCATTCTCCCATGTGGAACTAATTAGCAAACCTCATTATTTATGAGTCAAGTATGTAATGTAACAAATATCCCTTTCAAAGGATACATCGGAAATTGATAATTCAAGGTAGAAAACAAAAATACTGACTACCCGCAAGATTACTTTAAAATCCATTTAATTTCGCTTCGTGCTATGCTACCGGCAACAAGTCGGCTGGGTTTTTCTTTTTCTTTTTTGATTTATAATAGAGATAGAACTTAATCTGGAAGGTTAAGATTACAATAGTCTTAAAACAATGGCAACTGGACAATAGCATTACCGTATCTTCAAACAGGACAAAGGGTAAGAAAGCTGGAGACAGATGTAGTCTTTCAAGTTTATGATCCTATTTTGTAGGGTAAATTTATCTTGGCATGAGTGGGTTTTGTTTCAGTCAGAACACAAGTGGTTTGTTCTTAATTACTCATCGAGTAAGTTTGTGTTAAAAAAGAAAACCTCGCACAGTTTTGTTGTGATGGGGGAATTAAAGCAGAGAACTCATGGGGTCTTCTTCTTTAAAAAAATAAAAAAAATTAAAAAAAAAAAAAGCCCCGATAACGATCTGTTTACATGAAGCAGAATTAAAGGTGGAGGTGACACCGAAATCAAAGAAACATTGATCTCTCTGCGGGCAAGCGGGAGAGTAGAGAGTTACTGCACTGTGAAATACACATTCGCTTTGATGTCCTGAAGAGAGGAGACTTCTCTGTGAAATACTCTGCTCTTCATCTATATTTTTGACCGTCCCGGTCGAACAGAGCAAAAGTGTAGCTTACATTTCTGGAAAAGTGCCAAGAAACTTGTAGTAACGTGAACACTCTGCTCTCACCTCCCCTTTTTCTTATTCTTCTTTTTTTTCTATTCTTTTTTTTGTTTTTTGTTTTCCTTTCTTTTTATTTTTGAATAAGACTAGAACTGCTTTAGCAAAAAACAGCGGAGACAATGGATATTATTATGAGCCAGTTGTATTTCTCCTTCTTTTCTGTCCCCTTCTTCGTTTGGAAAATCGAAACAGAATTTTTTAGATGTTATCAACCAGATATTTTCCCATATTTTCATAGTAGATTCGTGGTTATATATTCCAAATAAAATATTTTCTAAGAATTTGAAGGAGGGAAGGATAACCCTAGAAATGAACTCAATTTGCAGTAGCATGTTTCATACTTCAAAGATCTAGGACTGCCTAATAGACATGTAGCTGTTGTGACATATAGAAACAGACGTTTCAGGTATCTGCACAAGAGTATTTTCCGCGTTGTTTGTTCTTGGGGTCATCGATCGAGGTATTTGTGCGGTGAAATGCCTAACGTCTGGGCAGCACTAACAAAATAAAAAGTATTTCCCCAGTCGAAGAACAAAACAATCTGGTTGGTCAATCGGCTCATAAACAGTTAAAAAAAAAAAGAAGAAGAGGGAGGAGAATGTAATGTGTGCATTTTTCAATCAGTCACTATTCAAAATGTATCCAATTAAAAAAGGTAAAATGTCACACTCTCTTATTCTGGGTCATTGCGATGGAATTCCTCTAAGTTTTGGGTCTCTCTTCCTGCTGCTGATTTATGTAAAGCGGTGTGAAAGGTGGACTGGTGTATAGAGCTGCTCAGAGTGAGTTTCTCCCTCTCACATCCTCCCAGCCACAGCTCCTAGGTCCAGGCAGCAGCTCACATATAAATCAGATTTGTTTCCCCGGTCGTTAGGACTCTTCCATCATCAGTTTTTCCCCCTTTCCCCCCGCCACCGGCCTAGAGGGACAATTACTGGTCTGCAGCACTTTGCTACCTCCTTTTCTCCCAAAGAGCTTTAAATAAACCCTACCTGCCTGGGCTGAGTGCTGCAGAACCCTGCCGAGACCTTGTGGGGATCTTATGGAGATCCTAATGAGACCCTGTGGTGATCCTATGGGGACCCTGCAGGTATCCTGAGGGCATCTTGAAGGGTTGCTAAGGGGACCCTGCAGGAATCCTGTGGGAACACAGCAGGGATCTTGCAGAGCCCTTATGGGGACCCTGCAAAGATCCTGAAGGAACCCTGTGGGGGTCTTGCCAGGACCCTATAGGGTGCCTGCACGGTTCTTGAGGGGCCCATGTGAGAGTAAACCCCACAGATCGCCGGAGGCAAGCAAGCACAACCTGGGGACCATAGAGGAAGGAGAAGACTTTCTGGGGTGTAGCGGTGCTCTGCATCCAAAAGCCATGGGTGATCTCTCGCATCCACAAGGTGGGCTATCTACTTCTCCACTAAGGGCCCTTGGGAAGCCTCTTCTGCTAAATGGGTGACAGGAGTCAAGGTTGTGCTGAGGGCCAGATGCATCTTGATGCTGCTCTCTGGTAGCATTTTTCCTCCACCTCACTGGGGGAATGGGAAGGGATCTGGCCCCAAGGGAAGGCTGGAGGCTTGGCAGGACCCTGAAACAGAGCAAAGTAGTGGTGGTTGGCCCAGGGAAGGGCTGAGGCCCTGCAGCCCCTGCCTGCACCAAGGGGCCTTGAAGGACCTGGGTCCTCTGGCTGGTGGGCCAGGTTCCCCTGTGGGAAGGGTCTCCCCAGGCCTTGTCTTTTTCCCTTCTGAAGGGCTCTAATTAAGTGATTGCCTAGACTGGGACATGGGCTTGAAGCCAGACGCTTCCCCCTGGGGTGAGCAAATGGCACTTTAGATTTGTCACCCAAGCTCAGCATTTTCCCTTTTTTTTTTTTTTTTTTGCAGTAAATGAAAGGAGGGCTGTTGTCCTCCCCCCTTATCTTTTTTTTTTTTTTTGAAGGAGGGAGAATGGGCAGCTCTGAGAACCCAGTTCCCCCCACCTTCCAGGAGACAGAGGCATGGCTAAGTCCAGGCTGCAGGGAGGTGTGTGATGCAGTGGGGGGCAAGTTCTCCACACTTCTTCCCTGCATCCCTTCAAGTGTTAGGGCTGAAGGTGGTTTCAATGGAAAGACCCAGTGGGCTGTAGCCTACCATTTTGAAAAGGCTGTATGGCCATGCAGAAAGTGATTTAAAATGATTTTAAACTGCCTAGGAGAGCCATGAGTTTTGGTGTCTAAAACAATATCTCTCTGCTGTTCCTGCATGGAGGGTCATCAGAGGCCTACCTGGCACAGAGATGCTGTTGGGAGGGTGAGTGGACTTGGATGGGTCATACCCTTTGTGCAGGGAGGAAGAAAAGGGATCTGGAGGCCTGTGGGGATGGGCCAGCAGCCGAGATCTTGCCTTTCCAAGTCAAAGGCAGCCTCCTTCCATGGCTTTGGAGAGGGGGATTAGGGAGGGGTGAGATAAGAATTCCCCTTTGCTTATATCTCTCTATAAATCCACCTCTCCCTCTTCTGCCCCTCCCCTCTTTTTATTTTCCAGATCTTTTCCCACACCCGAGATCTTCCTCCTGAGCGGTCACCATGGGAAGTAAGACTCTCCCAGCACCAGTGCCTATCCATCCTTCCCTCCAGCTCACCAACTACTCTTTCCTGCAAGCATTCAACGGGCTGCCTACCGTGCCCTCTGACCATCTCTCCAACCTCTATGGCTTCAGTGCCTTGCATGCTGTACACCTGCACCAGTGGACTTTGGGGTACCCAGCCATGCATCTGCCCCGTTCCTCCTTCTCCAAGGTGCCCAGCGTGTCAAGTCTGGTGGATGCACGGTTCCAGCTGCCCACCTTCCCACTCTTTCCACATGTCATCCAGCCTAAGCAAGAGGCCACCAATGTGACCCTCAAAGCTAAGCCTCGCTTCGACTTTGCCAACTTAGCAGTGGCTGCAACACAAGAGGACCACTCTAAACTGGGACAAGTGGACAGCCAGGGCTCCCCTGCAGGGCTGGGCTCTTTGCTTGAGGTGACTAAACTTTCTCCAGAGAAGAAACCCACCCGGGGAAGGTTACCATCCAAAACCAAGAAGGAATTCGTCTGTAAATTCTGTGGCAGGCACTTCACCAAGTCCTACAACCTTTTGATCCATGAAAGAACCCACACTGATGAACGACCCTACACATGTGACATTTGCCACAAGGCCTTCAGAAGACAGGATCACCTAAGGGATCACAGGTAACCATTCTTTTTTTCCCTGTCCCTTCTCTGTTATGCATCCATACTCTCCCAGTTGCTCAGCTACAGTCTTGAAGGTACTTAAAAGACAGGTCATATTCCTAGCCAGCGGAAGATGTTCCCTTTAGGCTTTCCTTTGCTAAGTGTTGCTGGAAGGGCCCAGAGACACTTTGAAAGACAATCTTGTTACATTCACTCAACCTGAAAACATCTTGCCCAGACTACTAGCTTATACAGACATTTTCACCCTCAGTTTGCATCATCCTACTCATGCTGCCTTTGTGATCATTCAGAACTGTCATGAACACAGGCGACCTAGTGGCCGTGAAGCTCTCTAGCCCTTTACCCCTAAGAATGTCATCCTTGTAAGCCTCCTACACACTCTTCTCTTCTTGCACAAACATGCGCGCGCATGGCACACACACACTCAGACACACACACCCCCATCCACCCACCCACCACGCACACACACAGAAATGCAGATGATCACTGGAGTGTCACACTCCAGCAGTCTTGGCCTCAGAAGTTGGTGTAAAAGGCTCCAGGGTGTTCTGAGTCAGTCTCTGGGTAGGTAGATCACTGCTAAGTTGAGGCTGGTTATTTTGACATCTCAATTTTTTGCTTCTCTCTAGGTATATACATTCTAAAGAAAAGCCTTTTAAGTGTCAAGAATGTGGGAAAGGATTTTGCCAGTCCAGAACACTAGCCGTCCACAAGACACTGCACACGCAAGTAAAGGAACTGAAACCTGCCAAACTTAAGTGCTGAATCTCCAACTTCTATGAACTTTTCCTCCCCTTCAGACTTTATACCAAAACTAGAACAGAAACAAAACTGCCAGGATGGGAGCACTGAACTTTGTGTTTTGTTTTTGTTTGTACTTAAAAATGAGCAAAATCCCACCAAGCAACTAACTTCCTAAGTTGTGGGTGAAAAGATTATTCTGCATTTAAAACATACATGAATTACACGGAGAGTGCTAGCTGACTTGTGTGGCTTTGACAAACTTTATGCCAAAAGGTGGTGCTCACGTGTTGGACAGGAATCTCATTAAAATCAAACAAAAACCCACAAAAATACCCCCCCAAGCCTCCCCAAAAAAACCCAAACCGTAACTTCCAAAAGTATTACTTAAAAAAAAAAAAAAACAACTCTTATTTTATACTTATTTTTTGACTGTATAAAGCTTCTTACTTTTACACTTCAGGAAATACAGAGAATTCCAGAAGATGATTAAGAACTGAAATGGTGATTTCTCATCCCAGCACCATTAGGACAAGAAGAAGGGCAACTTGCAAATCTTTTTGCTAGTTTGTTTTCTTAAAAGGAGAAGAAAATTAACTTTTGGAAATGACCTAAATCTCTCAAGTGAGGAGTCCTACCATGTGCTAGAAAACACATCCAGATCTTAGATCTGCACGTCCCCTGTAGTCGGGACAAATCAGTGCTTGTGGGACATGGAGACCTTGTCTTTGCCTTGCGGTCTAGTGCGCTGGAAGGAGGTTTGTAACTTGTGGACTTATTAAAAAAAAAATTAAAGGAAAGAAAGATGGCAATATATCAGACTGACGATATGCACAATTTGGTTTTAGTGGTACTTTAAAATCTGCGCATGTCCTCATGAGAGAGAACAAATCTCAACCTAAGAGCATATTTTTTTAAATGCTGGCTTTCTGAACAGTGTATTCAAATTAAGAGACATTCCAATACGTTTTGTTTATTAAAAAAAAAGTTGTATGGCTGTTTGGCACTTTATGCTGATTATTGGTAATTGACATTTATCACTGGATTGTGTGTGTTTTTTAAGTATTAAAATAAATCGTTATTTTACAGGCAAGTCTGTGTGGACTACCGTGTTCATTTGGTTTCTGGTATCTTCCCTAGTAAACCTTTTAGATCAACTTTCAGAACCTTTTTTTCGAATGTACTCGGTATATCCTCAGTGGTTTGTTTTTTTTTTAAACCAGCCTTGTAAAGTCTAGTTCTCTTCTTTACGTATAAGCTCTCTTTTTCTATTTTCTTTTACTTTTTTCTTTTTTTTCTTTTTCTTTTTTTTTCTTTTTTTCTTTTGCTTTTCCCTTTTTTTTTTTTTAAGGTTGACAAAAGTAAGCAGATCTGTAGGGAGTCAAGTAATTTTACTGCTAGTGTGGAAAAAAATCGTCTTGGGTAACTAAATCTTGGGTATTAGCAGATAAGATTAGGTGTCAGAAGTGTTATAAAACAAATCAGATGACTAATGGGCAAACTGTAACTGTTCTCACAGCCTGAAGGCACTGCAGGGAGAGCGGCCTTCGCACCCCCTTCTCTTTGCTTGTCAGGAGTGTGTATTTATCAATCGCATCTTCGCCTGGTTCAGCGCTGATTTGGGCGGCCTTTGATTCCCAGCAGCTGTCTTAGATCAGAGATGTTTATTCCACTGCGAAACCGTTTTGGATCGAGACGGGGGGAGAGAGCTCAGAGCGGAGGGGGGGGGGGTCCGCCTGAGACTTTGAAGCGCCTCTTGCCGTCCTTTCTAGTCTCCTCGGCAAGTCCCAAACCCTCTTCCCCCATGACAAGTCCGTGCTCCGTCATGAAAGCCTCCTGCAAAGCATTGTGACACATCCGAAATAATAGCGGACCTAACCCGGTGGCACTTGCATTTCCAAAATGCAGATGCTTGGCTTCGCAAGCCAATCGGTCCAAAGCGGTTCA